TTTTTACCTCCAATATGGTACTCATTTCCAATCCACCATCTTGCTCTCAGTAAATTTAAAAATGAATGCAAGCTTTTAAAGCATCATCTCTTCTAGGAAGAGTTACATTTTAATATAGACCCTGAAGTCAAAAGGTGCTCTGAAGAAAAACCTCTTTAAATTAGAAGACAGATTTTAAATAAACAAGACAGAAAATTTAAGAAGTCTTTCTGTTTTCCTATACGTTTCTACCCACAGATTTTTTTATAAGCACTGGTAGTTTATACTGCATACATGTTGGTCTAAAACTTCCTGAGTTAACTCTTTTCTAACCCCAGGGCTGAGGAAAATCCATGAACTTTTCCCTGATAATTACCTGGATACAACACCCTACTGCAAAATAAAAGGAGAAAGGAAAAGGGAAAAAGACCATATTGTTTGTAGACCATTAAATACTGCTCAAATTCCATTTATTTCAAAAAGCCTTATCAAATATCAATATTCCCTCCAATTCTGACTCCATAGGAAGATTAGATTACATTCCCAAAACATCTTTTGGGCAATTATTTGTAGGGAATGTGACTCTATATTGTAATCACTAATGTTATATGTTTTGAATGCACAGACATGAACTATTTGAGATTAGTCTCCCTGATAAAGTTGGTGTTCAATAAATGTGTGTTGCATGAATGGATGGATGGGTGGATGGGTGGATGGATGAATGGGTGGATGGATGGATGGATGGAAGAATTAAAATAGATCACTGTTGCTTTGCCACACTTATATAGCTGACCACCTAAAGAAGAAATAGATTTTAAATGTGTGTATAGCTTTTATAATGAGGAAAACACTAAAAAAAGTAACATGATACAAAGTTGGAACTGAAATAGGAAAGATATTTTTCTGAAACTTGTTCTTTACCCCCTGAGTTGATCTGGCATATTCCACCAGTAGGCAATTCATGAATCTGGCAAGTTTGCATTTGAATTCATGCTTAGATATCTTTTCCTCTTACCATCTCTGAGTGATGGGATGAGGGGAGAAGTCATAGAAATCTCTGAAATGTCATCAACTGTAAAAAGTCAGTTATGGTCTATCAGTTGGAGAAAGCAATGTTGCTGTTAGACAAAGGCCATGAGACCATCAAGCACCCACAAGCTAAACAATTTAGAAAAAGAATCATGAAACAATTTCTTCTCTCAGTTTGTGAATAACACCTTTTCCAGGAGATTTGATATATAACAGAGATCTGCTTTCACCTTCTGGGGACTTGCCAAGACGGAAAAGGGACGTGCCAGCCCAGTGAAAGGATGAATGTTCTTTTGATATTGCCAGCCATTACCAGATATGGGAGTGCAAAAAAAGCCAATTCTCCCAAGATTTATATTATGTCTAGCTTGTTGACTCAAGCAGTTTGGAAAAGCTTCAGAAATGTAGTTTATCTGAAGTAACTCTGACTCCTAACTAGTAGAGGAAAAAAAAAGTAGAAATAATATGTACATACTATTACAATCAAATCCTTTTGGCTCTAAATTTACATAACTTCTAAAGTAAAAAATAATCTAGCCCACACAGTGTGCTCCTAAAATACAACAGCCATTTTGTCAAATATAATTTCTATGATTATTGAATAATTATTTCTCAGAATTTGCATGTAAAAAACTATAATAAGCAATGGAATAGGAGAAACTGTACTTTTAAAGGAGTTAAAATCAATCCCTAAACTCAGAGAATCCAAGATAAAAGTCGCACAGGAGACTTAAGACTATAACAGGATTTTTACCTTATTCTCAGGATTTATATTATGTCATTATTATAAGGGTATGAAATTTTATAGGAAATCTTCAGTGAGAAGTTGGAGAAATATTAGCACATGAAAGAATATAAAAAATGATTCTATGTCTGTATGTGTCAGGCCTTTTCTAGATTCTGGTGATACACTGTTGAATAAAGTAAACAGGGTCTCTACTTATTTTCTATGAAGAGAAGATAAACGATAAACAATTAAATAAATACCAATGACAACACTTAGCAACTAATTAGTATAATGAAGAAACTGTAGGAAGAAGAGAAATGTAAAAGGACAGAGAGAAGAAAGGGTACAAGTATTATTTCAATAAGACAGCAATGCTGTCTTAGCCTGGTCAGGACACTCAGCAAAAGTAATCATAGACAAGGTGGTTTATAAACAACAGCAATTTATTTCTCACAGTTCTGGGCTAGGAAGTTAGATGACACCTTCTTACTAGTCTTCACGTGGTGGAAGAGGCTAAGTAGCTCTCAGGTCTCTTGTACAAATCACATTCATGGTCCCAATTCCTTCCCAAAGCTCTACTTGCTAATGTCATCACCTAAGGAGTTACAATTTCAACATAAGTTTTGGATAGATGCAAACATTCAGATAATAACACATACCTAGAAAGAATCTACCTTGCTTTAGGATGATCAAGCCATCAGTGACACAAAACACTCACTTGGGAATTCACATTTCACTCTTCTTTGTGTAAGCTTGGAGTAGAAGAAGTTGTAGTAGAGCAATGTAAAGTAAAGTAGAACATTAGAAATGGAACCACTTGTATTTATATTTTATTTGTCCTAATGGGCATATTAAGACACAGATCTACTGATTGTGTGCATAATCCAAATAGGTATCTTAAAACCTATTTTAAGGAAGAAGCCTGTACTTTCAGCGAACAAATGGAAAAACAATGAATCCACTTGCCCATGAAACAATGCTCTGACTTTATACCATGACTGAGGAAGCAAGCAGTTTAGGTTCCCAGAATATTGTGGGTTCAATAAATCCTGAATTGATTCTTTAAGATAATCTATAAGTGTTTGTGGGTCAGATTAAATAAATATGCAAGTTTGTATGTTCATTATAATATCCAAATGACATTTTTGTTTAGTATTGTAACTTTATTTTCATTAACTTTCCTTTTCTCCATAAAGCCATGCAGTTTTTTTCTATATTATCCTTCTAGAACATTTTAATGTCTTTATTTCCACTCTGTTGCAGTTAAGCTGAACAGAATGTTCTGTTGGATGGTTTTTTTAAATTTTTTTTTAGAATAGCTCACTAAAGAATTTGATAATAATATGTTTCAAATGCCAATTAAATTGGCATTTAGAAATAGTTACAACAGTATGTCACTTAGGAACAAGTTTTTTTTTTCTCAATCATGTCAACATTTATATGTGATCAAATATTTTGTATTTGTAAACATATCATCCATGATTTCTCTATGGCAGAGTTTTGTCTCCATAAAAGAGTTTCATAAAGTAATCAAAAGTAATTTTCAATTCCACTCTGTTGCAGTTAAGCTGAACAGATGTTCTGTTGGATGGGTTTTTTTAAATTTTTTTTTTAGAATAGCTCACTAAAGAATTTGATAATAATTGTTTCAAATGCCAATTAAATTGGCATTTAGAAATAGTTACAACAGTATTCACTTAGGAACAGTTTTTTTTTCTCAATCATGTCAACATTTATATGTGATCAAATATTTTTGTATTTGTAAACATATCATCCATGATTTCTTATGGCAGAGTTTTGTCTCCATAAAAAGAGTTTCATAAAGTAATCAAAAGTAATTTTCAATGTATGGGTAATTTAATTTATAATTTACAACAGGTTTAGTTATGGCTTTAAAATGACTATTAAAGCACATTTCTTGCATAAGTAAAAGATTGGAATATTTAAATGATTTACAGGAAAATCATTTATCTTTTTTAAATAATATTTTTCTAATAACTACCAGTGTGACTGCCATTTACTTAGATATGACCCGGGTTATCAACATGCAGTTGTTTTTTTTCATAATATTGGTCAAACCTATTTATTGGCACAAGTCAATCACATATACTACCAAGTGGTGAAGTTTGAGGACTCTTTTAGGCTTAAGAAAGAGCAACACTGAAATTAAATTCAACACAGTGTATGTGTATTACCACATATGATTATAAGAGCTAACACTGATGCCAGGCACTTTTGTAAGTTCTGATTTTTTAAAAACTATATTGTTTATTTAATCCCACCACAGCTGCACAAGGTATGTACTGTGATTGTCTCCTGCTCACAGAGACACATAGACTAGATAATTTAGTAACTGCTTTAGATAAACCAAGTCACCAGCATTGGACTCATGTTGTTAGACAATTACTAGATCATTTAATTTCCCAGGGAATGTGGAAATTTAATACTGGATTTTAGCTTAGAGAGTTTTTTTCTATCCAATATTTGCCAACTTTTATTCCAAGATCAAATTCTGGGATAAAAGTTTCCATTGTATTAACAGAAAACATGCAGTATAATATTCTCCCATCAGCCTTGTAAATTCATAATGCATAAAGACACACTGAAGGTTCTGAGATTCTTGAAGTGAAGAAATTTTTTAGCCAGCATTTCCAGTTTTAACTGACACAAACACATCGAATCCACTTTGCACATCCTTAGAATCTGTGTTCTTTAGAACATAAAGTCTGAGAAAAGTCCAGACCTACTATCTTGTAGATACAAAATTGAAGTTGAAAAATGCATTTTGTGACTCTGACACCTTACCTTCCACTCCGTGGATGTTCATGCAGCTTTTAAACCAGCATGTAGGCATAATGGTTCTGCTGTCTGAAATTTCTTCAAAATTTCCACTTTTATTTAACTATTTCAATAGGAACCATGATTACAGTGAAGATGCCTGGAATGGAATTGATAGGTGTATTCTTATTTATTTAGAACAAATTATTCATAATACATACTAAATATTAAAAACTCCATCATTACTAAATACTCCATTAACCATAAAGTATTTAATGTCTAATGATGAGACAAATAAAGCCAATGATGAATAAAACTCTCCAAAATCTTGAGATTCTATAGAATTCATCTTTCAAGTGAAGTCCAGAGGGGGAAGGACATTTCATCGCTAAACCTTTATTGTAGGATGTCAAAGAGTTAGTTATATGTAACCCAAACAAAGTTTTATCTGACCAATGCATGTTTTGCCATTTCAGTTCCTCCTAAGATTATGACATCTCAAGTGATATGACCATCAATGAAGAACCAATGTCACCCTTACGTGTTTGGCCACTGGGAACCAGAGCCTTCCATTTCCTGCGGCATATCTCCCCATCAGGTAAGGTGGGAATGGATACATCAGTGTTGTTTGTGTTGTTCTTCTGTAACTCCACATATTCAGAACTTGAGTCAGCTTATTTAAATTTCTGTAGGGAGGATGCATATTTTTTATACATTTTATTATCTAATTGCTATATAGTTCACAAAAGCCAAATGAGCACTGTTTGTCAGATCCAGAATAAAACCATCTCTTGATTCCTAGTCAGGGTTATTTTCACTTTAGTATATGGGGATAATCACAAATCAATAGACAAAAGACTCAATGGAAATATCACAAGAGAAAAATCTTCATTTAAATGGGTAAGGGATTTATTCAATCGGCATTCACATGTTAATAGGCCAGCATGAACTGCTAAAGTAATCAGGGAGAAGGAAATTATACAAATTGTGAGGTTGCTGGGTCTAATTTCAAACTGATGTTCAGAATCAAGGATTTTGGAGTTAGAATTAAATTTTAACTGATGAAATCTAAAAACTGCAGAGAAGTAACTTGCACACATAAATCGCATAGGTAGGTGAAATTAAGGGCAGTAATATGTTTATGGTTTCCAGCATTTTTTGCTGCTGTGAACATCTTCCCAAAGAAATTAAGTCAATTTCAGGAAGTGGTGATAATCATTATCAAGATAGGTCTGCCTTCACTGTCACACTCTAACAGTTGTGTACAATTCAAAAGTTTTACTGTATAGCTCTGGCATTTCCTGGAGTTAAAAATACTTTAACAAATAGGATTCCACCTCTTTTCAGATAAATAAAATTTTATTTTATTCTTATTTTTATTTTTGGTAAAGTAACTCCAACAAAGCAAGAGCAATAAATTGCTTTTAATGAATCAGAAAGGAACATTTTATGTAGGGGTAGAAACAATACAATCAGACATCTCTTTATCTGCTAAAGCTTTCTTTACTATCACTTATCCTTAAGGGTATTTCAGTTTCCTCATTTATGCAGTTGTCTAATAAAACTTACATCACATGCTTAGTATTTACTATTAATGGGAGAGAAAATCAATATAACCACAGTACACAATAATATGCATTATGGCCCCTATAATATTCTGAAGTTTGAGAGTGCTCTTGACTGCCAACACTTCATTCTCTAGAGCTGCTACAAAATCAAAACTGTATGTGAACACCTAATTCATGCAGGACTCTCTATGGGGTAGAAGTGAAACAAACTCAGGAATAGTAGTTCTATTCATCAATTCAGTCAATCCTTGTGCAAATCTCTTAGTCTTAATGATCCCAAAGCTAAAGTAGTTTTCTTACTTTCCAAAAATTGCATGACAATAGTCTCCACTCATGCACACATGAATAAAAGAAAAAAAATAGTCTCCACTCACTTTTTTAAATTGAAAGAAGTTATGTGTATTATCATGCACACAATGGTTTGATGTATATATGCATTGCAGAAGGGTAAAATCTAGTTAATTAACAAATGCATTACCTCACGTAGATATTTTGTGGTGAGAACACTTAAGATCAACTCTCTCTGCATTTTTCAAGAGTGCAATGTACCACCATTAACTGTAGTCCACATTCTGTACAATAATCTCCTAAATTTATTCATTCTAGCTATTGGCAAATTATATGTTTGACCAACTATATCTGGGCTATGTGAGACTGAAATAGGTAATTAGCATGAATGTGATTTTAAAAGTATAAGAGCATATGCAAATGTACAGCTGATTCTTAATCATCTTTCCAGTCATTTAATCTGATAGAGTACCCTAATTTTTATAAGATGATCACACAATCTCTATCTGCATTTAATTTTAAGAAAATGTGATTTAACTCTCTTGTTTTGCAGGACTTGTTATTATGCATTTTCTTTTTTAGTTTAATTAAATAGCAGGAATGTTGCTTAGTGAATTTACCAGAAAATAATAGATAACATCATAAAGCTGAAAGACGACAGATTGGGTTTATAAATTAAACTGTACATAGATTTGTTTTCTGATCCTGCCATACGTAGCAAATGAGTAAAAAATTGCATAACTATTAACTGTTACCTAATGAATATCTAGCACTCTGAAATATATTTATAAAGCTTCCAATAATTTAAATTATAATCATTGAAGATCTATATTCAACTGCACATCACTGGGAGTTTCTGCTTTAAACATGTCTAATAATTTTATTAGTCATGTTTCACATTTTATATTTATATTTCAAAAGTATCTTTGTGAGCTTCTTTGAACTGCTCATATTTTACCTAAGCAATATAATATTTCCATATGCTTGTAATTTCCTTTGTTATATCATGAAAGAAATATGTCTCAAAGCAACCAAGAACATGTAACAGGTTTAAGTTAAAACAGGTATAGATATGTTCCATCTCCAATTCAGAAGCATGGCAAGTTTTTGAGATTATCTGCATTTTTACCAGTTGGACTTGCAATTTTACTTTTTATTCAAACAACTGAGTTACTTTCACCAAAACCATCTTCCCTAGAAATTCTGGATATGAAATTCCTTAGAGTTCACTTAGACCAATGATTTGTTCTTTATATTTTTCTCGTTTGATATTTGAAAATCAATTTCAAATTACATCAAAAGGTTAGAAAATAGTACAAACACCTTATAGCTACTCAGTTTCATCATCATCATTTTGCCTGTTGCCGCATCATTTGCTCAGTGTGTTGGATATACAGAGCTTCTTGGACTTATGAAAGGGTGATCCTAATAAACCCCTCATAAGTCGAAATTCATAAGTCAAAGATGCATTAGTACATCTCTTACTGGAACAGCATTGCTTAGCAACATAGCACATTGCAGAATTACACGTTACCTGTGTGACTGACTGAGAGAGCAGCTTGCTGCTACTGCTAGCATTGTGTCTCATACCACGTATTGCTGGCTCAGGAAAAGATCAAAATTACAAGTTTGTTTTTACTGAATATATGCCATTTTTTGCATCATCATATAATTGAGAAATCCTAAATAAACCATATGTTAAGTTGAAACTGTACATATGCACATTTTTCACTGAATGCTTTGAGTGCATTCCTTAGAGGCAGATCTTGGCCTTCTTTAATCTCTTTAGATTTTAGTGAGTATTTCTGAAGAGTAAGACATTCTCTATCTATTAACACTGAGCTATTTCAGTAAATTTAACATTTGCATCTTACTTTTCCCTAACTAATCTGTACTCTAATTTTGTCAATTGATCAATATATTCTTTTAGAAAGAATTGTAATAAAGAATCCCATCCAAGACCATGTATTATATTAAACAACTATACCACTGTTCCCCTTTAGCCCAGAACTAGTTCCTAAGCCTTTCTTTGTAATGTGGATCAATGACAGTTTTCAACAATGCCAACATATACTTTTTTAAATAGAGTGCCTATTGTTTGAGGGTTTGCCTCATTTTTCCTCATGACTATATTCTAGTTGTGGCCGTCTGGAACTCATAAGTAAAGCCTTGTCCTTTTCACAGAATCATATTTATTGGCACATGCTATCCATCTGTCCCTCATATATGATGGCAATAATTTCAATTACCTAATCAAGGTGATGCCTGGTTTTCACACTGTATGATTTCTTCCCTTTTCCTCCAGTAAGACCAATAAGCATTCTGTAGGGAAACATTTTAAAACCATAACATGCAAATATCTGCTATTTGTCAATTCTCCCTTTAGCTTTTATATTTTTGTGATTCTTTCATAAACCAAACTTTATTTTTTAAAATAAATTTTTATTAAGATATATTCATGATAAAGGGGGGTTTATAGTGACAATTCTGATTATACTTATGTTGTACATTATTTACATTGCCCCCGTCGTCTCTCCCCCTAAGCCTCCTCCCCACCCCACTTAAAGCAATTGCAAGAGGTTTTCTAGTTCTGTTTCATATAGGTGTATGAAGTCCATATACCATATGCCATCACCTTAATCTCCTTACTTCACCCACCCCCTCCCACTAGTACCACTCCCGTGCATACACTGTGCCTATTTTACAGTCCTGGTTTTCATAATTAATATTTGAGTTGATGTTCAAAGGTGTGTCTCAATGTATGCTTTACTTTGGTCTGTTCAATCCCTTCAAATACTCTCCCTTACTCCTTTACCTCCCACTCCCTGTTTTTCAACATATTTCAATACACATTCTTATATCACATCTTGTGGTATGTGATATTACTGTTGCTCTGTAATTCTCTTTTCCATTCTCTCTTTCCCTGAGTTCCATAGAATAGTTACACTGTTACAAACATGTTCTATAACTGAATTTGTATTTGGTCATGTTTGTTTTCATGTATATGTTTATCTTTGGATCTATCTTCCATGTATGAGAGAAAACCTGTGTCTTTTGTGTATCTGATCCTGGCTAACTTTACTTAACATGATGTCCTCCAATTGCGTCCATTTACCTTCAAACTCCATGTCATTATTCCTTGTGGCTGAGTAATATTCCATTGTGCATATGTAGCATAATTTCATGATCCATTCACCAGTTGTAGGGCAGCTGGGTTGTTTCCAGAGCTTAGCTATTATGAATAGTTCTACAATGACATTGGTGTACAGGTGTCTGTTTTATATCCTGTCTTATGTTCCTCTGGGTAGATTCCCAGGACAGTATCAATGGATCATATAGCCATTCTAGATCTCGTTTTTGAGGAATCTCCATACCGTTTTCCATAATGGTTGTACTAATTTGCATTCTCACCAGCAGTGCATAAGGGTTCCTATTTCTCCATATCCTCACCAACATTTGTTGTTGTTATTACCCTTGATTCTGGTCATTCTAAGTGTGTGGTGAGATGAAATCTAAGTTTGGTTTTGGTTTGCATCTCTTTTATAACCAGGGAATTTGAACACTTCTTCGTGTATTTACTGGCCATTTGTACCTCTTTCTTTGAGATCCCTGTTTAATTCATTGTGTCATTTCTTCATTGGTGTTTATTCTTTGGGCTGAGTTTTTGCATTCCCTGTAGATCTGATATCAGACCCTTGTCAGATGAGTAGCTGGTAAAAATTTTCTCTCATAAGGTGGGCTG